TCTGAACTCCCCAGTTCTACCTGGAGTTAGTCTGGGCCAGGGCAGACTCACCACTCTACCTGACACCCTGGTCCTGACGCAGACACAAGCCAGTGTTGCGCTCAGGGATTAGGGACTCACTGAGCAAAAGAGGGACAAAGGAGGTTTTCTCCCTGTGTCCCTTGTTTTCAAAACCACAGCTAGGAAGGTGTGCACTTTACCACCTTTCTGGAGTGATCAGAGGGAGGGAGCCAGGCACCAGCCTCCTAGGAGCTGAGCCATAGCCACAGCTGCAGGGATTTGCAGGCAGGAGGGGTTTGGGTGTTGGAGCAGAATCTGGGTTAGGGGAGTAGGGTGACTGCAGAAAGCTTTGGAGGTGGAAAATGCAACTTTAATGTGAGGGTCTCAGACTTAGAGAATATCCAGAGAACTTGAGGAACCTCCAAGTTTTTGTAGCAATAAAACCACTTGAGCTTTAAGGTGGGAGGTACCAGCTGTTAGAGAATAAGCTTGGATAGGTGGTGTGTGCGCTCTGGAAAGAGGAGGGCTGGCAAGAGTTGGGGCTCTCTGGAGAGAGGGAAGAGGGGCCAGAACCCCATGTCCTATGCAAAGGCTCTATAGAGAAGTGTTAAACAGCCTGGAACTGGTGTCACTTCCCACAAAAGGTGCCGAAATCCTCTGGTGAGGTGTCAGACCAAAGTCAGCAGACCAGGGCGCTGGCCGCGCCCTGTCTTCTCCAGCTTTACGCACGGGCTTGGCTCACCTTCTGGCTCTGTGAGGAAGGTAAAGGAACTCCAGCCACCTCTCCCGAGGACAGGGCTTTTGCTGCAGCTACAAAGCTTTATGGCATGGGCTCCCAAAGGTAGAAGAAGCCAGCAGTTAAGGCTCTACATCCAGGGTGAGGGATAGGCTGGAATGGCCATGGCTGGCCCAGGAGAGGGGCGCGCAGCCTGGCTGGCGGGCGGCAAGACCTCTGAGTTAATGTATAATTGTGAGCAGATGGCGGGGGCTGGCGGCAGCCTGGGGCCTGGGCCCAGCTAATGAGGGACAATTAGCCCCAACCACAGTGGGGGCAGTTGAGAGAGTCAGACAGTGAAGGCAGATATTTGCTCCTCAAACAGTCTGGTGCGCTGGGCAGAGGGCTGAGAGACGGAGCCCTTGGGCTTGCTAGGCCCCCCGCCAGGGCCCTTTCCCCTTTTCCCTCCCCCCATCACCTCTGGGTCTAATGCTTCTGTTTATTCAGACCCAAGAGCCCGTCGTAAAGGCAGAGGGAGAGGGTAGTTTATGGGGGAAATCGCTGCCACCACCATCTGCCAGGGCTTGTCCTTTCTCCCCCCTGTCAGCCCTATCTCCACCCTCAAGCAGCTGTCTATGAGAATAGCTGGTCAGGATATGAGCCTTGAGCCCCTAGAGGCAGGGGCTGATCTAGGGGAGCAGGATGAGGCAGAAAGGGGCACTAAGAGCAGGGCTATCCCATCCCTTCCTGGGGACCTCCTTTCACCCAGGCATGGCTAAGTAGAGTGACCAGCAGTCCCCAGCTGCCCAGAGCTGGAATGGGTTCTGCTTACTCTGGGGCATATGCTTTCCTGCCCACGGTGCTGAAATCAACTACTATAGTCTCCCCTGTACTCCAGGTCTCTGGGCCAGCCTGAGGATGCTGGAGGAGGAGAAGGGGAATATGTGTCAGGTAAGGCAGAAATGTGATACATTTGGCCCTTGAGAATAGTTCCTTACCCTAATATTAAGTTAAATGTATCACACCTTCTCCCACCCTCTGAAACCCAAAGTATTTACCAGTGAGATGCAGTCTTCTTTCCTTTGGCTTCTGGGTCTAGTTTGTTTGTCTTATACTCTGCTTACTTCAGCCTAGCTTCTATGATGGAGTTACAAAGTCTAAGGTTTAGAATGGATACAAAGGTCTTTTCCATGTTGGTCCCTTCACACCGCACAGGGATCTGTCCAAGACCATAATAGCAAAAATGCTTCTAAGCGCTGGAGGCTATGCTCATTTGTAGCAAGTCATTCTGCAGAGACAACCTACCTAGCTGCTGGTGCCCTCACCTCAACAATGACCCAGATAACCTATGGTGTCTTTTGTGGGAACAGCAGTGTCATTAATGACATAAGAGTGTAATAACACCAACTCCCTAGTGGAATGGAGTCTGTTAACACCTAAAGAAGGAAGAAGGAAAAACAGGTTGTAGATCTCCTTTAACCACCCCACGTGTATCTTTAACTACCCCTAGGGGCTCATTTCCAAGAGCACTGCCATTGTCAGTGTTCTGGGGTCTAAACCTTCTCTTTCCAGGCAAGAACACACCCTTCATGTCACCCCAGCCAAGCAGCCATTGAATTGATAAAGAGCTCTGTTGCTATGTGTCCATTCACTTCCCTCTTTCAGAGTTTTAGGAGTCAATTCACTATTCAGGAATTAGACTTAATACCCATTTATCTTTTATGGCACTACACATACAACCTAGGAAATGACCCAAAAGCCCAGGCATATGCATTCTGGCTTTGAAGCTATGTCAGTGGTTCTGGAAGGCTGTACTTCTTTGCATCCAAAAATTTGGGTACATGGTCTGAAGCTCCCCATCTTCCATGGCCCTCATGCCCTTCAGGAGTCCTGACCCCTGCAGGGTACATTCTGGGTCCAGGGAGCCTGCATGAGAATGACTACCTGCTTCAGATTGGTAGGTGGACACAAGGTGGGCTCTGAAGACTCCCTACAGAAGGACACAGTGGATCATTGGCTGTAGTCTGCTCTGCCTCAGGGCCAGTGTCAGTCAGCTCCATGCACACCTCCCTCCTCCTCTCTCCTCTGCTCATGGCCTGTGACATCACTGGGTGCTCCCAGAAGGCTGCCCTCTGCTCCTGAGCACAGCTCTCTGTAGCTCTGGACCCCCTGGCAGGACGGAAGCAGGAACAGAGTAGAAGCTGTTACTAGGACCAGACTACCAGCACCCCTACAGCCTACAGGGGTCTCAGGAGCCCAGCACAGGACCCTGAGACTTTCCACTGAAGCTCCCACCTCATTTCCTCTACCCAGGTAGCTCACTTGCAGGCTCATTGTCTGCTCTGCCTCCCATGCTGTCTCCATGTCTTTGTGTGGCCAAGCCCAACTATCTCTCTCTGGCTTTGTAGCTGCCCACCCTCCTGCCCCTTCAGCACCCTCTTCTGCTTTCTCATCTCATGAGTACCAGTAATTTTGGGGAATATGTGTTGTGGCTATTACAAATGGAGTTTCTGTTTGTGAGTTGGGGCATGATTCTTTTTTGTTTTAGAGATTGTCTAGGATTAGATATTGAACCTGTATTCCCGTATCTCAGGATACCCAGTGCTCTGAATCACTTAGGAGGACATAGTCCTATCAAGGGTTCAGAGTTTGGCTGATATTCTGGACTCCAACCCCTTATCCTTGTATAGCCCTTTACATTCCCAGCTTGACTCCACTGCTTTGGTGGCAATTTCACAAACACAAAGCAGGGTTGGCTATAAAGAGATTCCTGGAATTAGGAGCCAGAAGTTTTTACTTTAAACCTTGAGTTTCATTTTCTGGTTGGCCCCAGACTTATGAGAACCTCAATCTGTTCCAATTTTCTTTGAAAAAACCTCTGCCTTCCCTCCAATTTTCTGGGGAGTGCTTGGTGGGGAATGTGTCTCTCCCTGCCTAGAACGGGAGCAAATAAAATCCACTTTAGCTACTGAATTTACACAGTAAGCTTTGGATTCTGTATTCTAATACGTTATTGCTGCTTCCATGCTAGTTTCTCTGCCAGATTGGATTATAATCTCGTGGACAGCAAAGACCTTGTCCCTTTTCTATTTTACTCCCTTCATTCCAAACAACCAGCAATGTGCTTGTGCCTAATGCCTTGTTCAGTAAGTAGTTGCAGATGAGTTAACTGAGCCAAGACAGCATGATTATTATGGGAAAGTTCCATGTATAAGCTGTTCCCTAGGGTCTAGAAATTATAGGAGGCAGGTTCAACTCTCATTAATTGATGAAAACAGAAAAGACATGACCTGTGTCTCTTGTTGCTCAAAGACTGTTTTGTGCTCAAGATGGCTTCTATGTGGGTCAGCAGGTAACCCTCTCTGCTTATTATTTTCTTCCTTCGATATGTCTTCAAGAAATATTAATTTAATGGATGAATGTCTGATCCAAGAAAGGTGGTCTCTGAAAATGAAGCTTCACCGTGAGATCTAGAGCTCTTCAGAGTTAACCAGAACCAACACCTGCAGCCAGTTAGAAGCTCCTAAGAGGTGTGTCTTTTAGGAGAAGCCAGCTCTTCTGGCTTGTTCATCTTTACTTCCAATGTGTGGGACCAAAGCCCAGTGCTGGGGGTGGTAGAGCCGAGCCAGACATTTTCCCCAAAGCTTCCTGGAGAGTATAAAACAAAACAAAACAAAACAAAATGAAAAACAAAACAAATTAGGAGCAACCGCTTCCCCTAAGTGCTCAGAAGGAAGCATTTAGCTGGTGGTTTGGAGAACCTAGTCCAGGACTGCCTGACAGTGAAGGTAAAGCCTTGAACCTGAGGACCTGGAGTCTGGCTCAACTGTATCAGTGAGAGGTTGAAAAGGCTTATGAGTGGTCAGAGGCAGACATTACCTGTTTGGAAAGGAAAAAGCCTGAGCTTGGGGAAGCAGTATCTCTTTCCACTTCTTGTAATGGATGTGTGGAAATGAGCTCCTTCTCACCCTCCCAGCCCCTTCTCGGGCTATCCAGAGGGATCCCGTCTTTAGTTGGGTCTGTGATGTTCATAATATAAGGATTTAAAGTAAAGACAATTCTAATGTTTTAATTTTAGCCAACTTATTGTTAAATTTTAGAAACCTAAAATTTACACAAAGCATTATATCCCAGAAACCTTCAAGCAAGTGACCTCCCCCAAGTAACCCCCCATTAGTGCAGACCCAGCCCCCAAACTGGAATAGGTTTGCTTAGAAGGAACTCCCCTGTCTAATCTTTTCCCAGTTGGCTTCCTGTCCTTCTGTGAGCACGCTCAGCTCAGAACATGCAGCAAGATGGTAAGAAGCCTGGGAGAAATGGGAATAATGGAGGCGTAGAGAGACAGGGGACTATTTCAGGGCACTGCTTCCATTAACCCAATTTCATCTGTCCTTGGCCAATGTTTAGGGAGAAGTTTTTCCAGTCAATCCCTCTCTGCTTTACCCTGCTTCCCTTAGGTCAGGAAGGTTGGTACTTATGGCCAAGGAGCCAAGACTCACACATAAGCTACCTCCCAAAGAAAGTGGCATATTTTGAGGCTCCTGGGAGCAGGAGGGGAGCAGACTACTGGAGGAGGATTTAATCTATGGTGGGAAGGCCAGGCTGAAGGGACCTGAGTGACTCTCTGTAAAGGTGGGTGGGTGGAGTTTGGGGAGAGCCAATGTATGGATGCTTCCTTTCCATTTCCAGGGATCAGCAGCATGAATCAGCTGGGGGGACTCTTTGTGAATGGTCGGCCCTTGCCTCTGGACACCCGGCAGCAGATTGTGCAGCTAGCAGTCACTGGAATGCGGCCCTGCGACATCTCACGGAGCCTTAAGGTAAGGCACTTAAGGAAGTGCCAAGATCTTCACCCAGAGAGAAGGGGCCCCTCCGAAAGGCAAGAGTATGGGGGATTTGGGGGCTGGGGCTACCTCCTAGAAGACCTTCTTGGTAGTTGAGAAGGGGAGTAAGGCTGGACTCTCAACTCCATGGCTTGGTCCAGTAAGTATTGCTTTGCTTTGTAGCCTCCTTCTCTCCCAGGGACACCTGTCCTTGTTTCTCACCTGTCTTAGGTATCAAATGGCTGTGTGAGCAAGATCCTAGGGCGTTACTACCGTACAGGTGTCTTGGAGCCCAAGGGTATTGGGGGAAGCAAGCCACGTCTGGCAACACCCCCTGTGGTGGCTCGAATTGCCCAGCTGAAGGATGAGTGTCCAGCCCTGTTTGCTTGGGAGATCCAACGTCAACTCTGTGCTGAAGGGCTTTGTCCCCAGGACAAGACTCCCAGTGTGAGTGCTCTTCTTCCCTGAACCAGGACTGGCAAAACAGACTGCCTGGGAAGAACAAAATCTCTTTTTAGTTGTCTGGGAGTAGCTGGAATCTTCTGATTCATAAGTTTCTCTCTTCTGAAAAATGGTGGTCGTGAGAGTGGAGAGAGAAGAAAGCATGGGGATAGAGAGAAGGCTGCACATGGGAATTATGTGAGGGTGGAGATAGCAGGGGAGAAAGGAAATGGGGTGGGGGGCTCAGGATGTAATGCTGGATCTTTACACTATTTTTCCATTCAACACCCTAACACATCCAGGTCTCCTCCATTAATCGAGTTCTGCGGGCACTACAGGAAGACCAGAGACTGCAATGGACCCAACTCAGGTCATCAGGTGGGTCTTGGAGTTTCCCCCATGGATAGTCAGGACCAAAACTTTAGCATTTTATAGCCCTCAAAGCACTTTCTTGTTCTTTTTTGAATCACCCTTCCAACAATCCAGTAAGATTGTCAAGGTTCCTTATTTTGTCCTGGAATAATAAAATTGAGGTTCAGGGAAGTGAAATGACTAACCCAAGGTCACCAACTAGTTGTTGGCAGGTCTTAGAACAGAACCTTGGTCCCCTAACTACTAGGTTCACAGGATCTGCTGAGAAAGAGGCAGGACTGGGTCTGTCACACCTTACCTCTGCCTCATGCATAGCTTCTCAGAGCATCCTTCATATTCTATGGGATTGGGCAAACTTGGACCAACCCCAATGCTGTTTTCTCTAAGTATCTCTGTGGTACTTAAACACATTTCCCATCAAGGGCCCTTGCAGAAACCTTCAAGTAATTGGATGCTCCACTAGCTCAGCTCTATACACTCGTGTGGCTGTCACCTAGCCTCAGCCCCAGGGACTCAGGGATCCCATCTGCCAGAGGAATCACCATTGCAGACCTCCTGAAGACATTGTCTTCCTTTGCAGCTGTTTTGGCTCCAACTCTTCCCAATTCTCCTAGTGCCTCTGAAGCACCCCGAGGCCCCTATCCAGGGACCAGCCACCGGAATCGGACTATCTTCTCACCAGGCCAAGCTGAGGCATTGGAGAAAGGTGCTGGACTGGGGTGGGTAGTGGGATAGAGTCTTTGGTGTGACAGGTGGGGGCAGTGCCCCTGAGGCCTGTGGACAGAGACAGAGAAGGGCAGGCTGTGGTTGGCCCTGCTTTGGGAAGGGAAGAAGTTTAGAGTGGTAGCAGGTAGGAAGTGGGGTCTGATGGGAAGACCCGTGTCTTTCTGCCTGCCTGTGTCCTCACTGTGTGAGCCTCCATCTCTGCAGAGTTCCAGCGTGGGCAGTATCCTGATTCAGTGGCCCGTGGGAAGCTGGCTGCTGCCACTTCTCTGCCTGAGGACACGGTGAAGGTAAGCTCTGTGACATGGTGTGCACAAATCACAAGGAGAAAGAAAATAGAAACAAATTTATATGGAGCAAAGAGAAAAAATCAGAGATGAAAGTCTCTTGTTCTCCTTCTGCTGATTGCTCTCTTCTCTTCCCTACCCCAAGCCTTTGAGTTGAGGAAAGACAGAGAGCAAAGGCCAGAGCAGAGAGGGAGACATCAGGCCTGAGGAGGGCTCTACATTCTGAGTCTAGGCCAGGAACATGCAGTGAGAGAAGAGTTGCCAGGTGGCAAAAAGCAGTCAGCTACCTAGTCCTTGTTCTCCTTAGGTCTGGTTTTCAAACAGAAGAGCCAAATGGCGACGGCAAGAAAAGTTGAAGTGGGAAATGCAGATGCCAGGTGATTTCTGTGCACATCTCATTTATCCATCCACCCATCCATCCACCCATCCATCCACCCATCCATCCACTCATTCATCCATTCTTCCATCCATCCATCCATCCATCCATCCACCTACCTAACATTTACACAGCAACTCCTATGCTCCAAGCCCTGTGCTAGATGTTGGGTACACATAGTCCCTGCTCTTAAGGCTTGTACTGTCTCCAGTACCATCCCTGAGTTTTAATCCTTCTTTCTAACTTCCCAAGGCTTTGCCCTGGGGAGGAAGGCAGTTTAGGGTTTTGATATCCATCTCCTCCCACACCTGCTATCTTTCCAGGAACTCCTCCCATACCTAACCCTCCCTGCCTTTTCCCATATAGCCTCTGCCACCAACACCAATTCCTCCCTCTGAGTGGATCCATCTTCATCTTGCAGGCACTTCTCAGGATCTGACTGTACCAAGGGTTTCCTCAGCGATCATCTCTACACAGGTACTTGGGAGTTTGCGATGTGGGAAACTGAAGGGCTCATTGCTTCTCCCATTTCTGGTGAAGGCCTGAGCTAAGATCCATAACTTTCTAGTGCTCCCACAGTGTATACTTCTGGAAAGTGCCACCCCCTAGTCTGCTATACGAATGGTACTCTCTGGAGTTGTGCGGGATAGTTTGGGGGCAGTAGTTCTAAACAAGAAGTTCACTGGCAGCTGAGGGTCTCCTCTTGCTTTTTCTAGCAGTCCCCTAGCAGTGTACCTACAGCAGCCCTGCCTGCCCTGGACCTGTTGGGTCCTTCCTGCTATCAGCTGTGCTGGAGGACAGCACCAAAAAAGATTCTGAGTGACACTCCACCTCAAGCCTGTTTCCAGCCCTGCTGGGGTAAGAATCAGGCCAGGCCTCAATCCTGCAGGGTGTGTGTTGGGTGGGGGGCACCTGACTGACTCCTTGACGTACCAGAGGGCATGGATCTCTAATTGGTGCCACCAAATCAACCTCAGTACAGCTTTCTTCATTTCTTGCCTGGCCCACAAAGTTGAAGAGACTAGTAGCCCTTGAGCCTACAGTAGCACTGACTATCACAGCAGGTAAAGGGAGGTGGGATTGGATTTGGGGTGTATATCCAGCCTCTCCCCCTCATTGACTTTGAGGGATGGGGCAGGAGCAGAAAATGCAAGCTCCCCTCTACCCTGCAGGATACTCATTCCCACAACTACTTTCCTTGAATTTAAGACTGCTTTGCCCTCCCTGTCCTTCCTTCCACTGCCCCTCACCAGTGTTGGTGCTCTTTAGGCTCTGCTTTGGCCGGGCTCTCCACTACTGTAAGGCCTGAATGAGTCAAGAGATCTAGAGTGTGAAGGAGATGGGGTGGGCAGGACCTAATCCTCCTACCCTTTGTGATCACTGTCTTTCCCACACAGATTGTCACTTCTCCCTCCTTCCTGTGGCCTCTCCCTCGTGTTCGGATCTTGCCTGGCCCTGCCTTGCTGCCCCTCCTGTGCATCACCTGACTGAAAGGGCTAGAGAAGCAACACCCATCCCCTACTCACACTGGCTTTAAGAGGCCTCCACTTGGTAATAATAAAAAAAATTTGAATTCGTAGTAGTTCCTATTGTTCATTATTTTTTCTGTCCCTGTTATTCATTTTAATTTTTTCCCTGAGTACTCATATGCCCAATCCTGTATTTAATAATTATAAGCAGTACCTTATCATCTATCTTTATCTGTCTGTCTGTCTGTCTGTCTAACTATCTATCTATCATCACCTAGGGCTGGGGATTTAGCTCAGTGGTTTCACTGCCTGCTGTGCAAGCGCAAGGACCCAAGTTTGATCCCCGGTAACAAAAAAAAAAAAAAAAAAAAGAATATCTATCATCATCATCATCACTGTCATCATCAAATTTATGTATATACATGCAGTACATAATAAATGTGTTGTCTATATATCTACCTCATGTATGTACCTATACATCTATGTGTGTGCTTATTTATCTTTCTATCTAGGTGTTTGGGTGCTCAAATGTCCACATGTACATGCACATACACTCACACATACACAATTGTATCATGGTACTTCACTCCTAAGTCCTTCATTGTGCATCTCCAAAAGATAAAGAACAATTTTTTTTTTTTTTTTGGTACCTGGGATCGAACTTGGGACCTTGCACTTGTGTGGCAAGCACCTGAACCACTGAGCTAAATCCCTGGCCCTAAAGAACAATTTTTACACTATCACAGTAACATACCACATCTAAGTAAATTTCCGTAACCCAAGAAAATAGACATTAATTCCCTAACTACATTTTGTTGTAGCACCAAATACAGTGGAAATTGCATTTTTCATACTCTTTTTCTGTTTATACATGGTCTAAGGGCAGGTTCTCCTTGGGAGTATATTCCAAATTTTCTTAAGTCTGTTGTTTGGAGAGTCTTGGGATGAGGGAAAAGGGAGGAAGGCAATGGAAGGTGAAGGAGGAGCTAATCAGAAAGGAGGATGCCTCAGCTCCAATTCTTTCCCTTTGAAGGGCAGGGGGTGGGTAATGATGCTTTCAAGAGGAGTGGAGATGAGAGAATGGGGACATGTTTGTTTAGTTCCATCTGAGAACAGTATTGATCCAGAAGTTGTCATCCAACCACGTCATTTTTATTATCAAATTCTCCAAAGCTGTGCTGTTCAGTAACCAGTGATCAATCGCATGTGGCTATTTACATGTAATGTAAATTAAATAATGTGAACAATTCAGCTCGTTGCTTGCACTCGCCACATTTCAAATGCCCAATGGTCACAAGCGGCTTGTGTGCTATACTGGACAGTGAAGATTACAGAGCATTTCCATCAGTGTGGAAAGTTCCATGCAACAGCACAGTTCCGGCTGGGGCCTCAGAGCCGAGCACATTCAAGCAAAGGATGGATTGTCACTTGTAGGGAGCTGGGCATAAGATGCTGTGTATGCATACAAGTATATTCCTGAGCACACATGCCCATACATCTGAGTTTATTTATTTATTTATTTATTTATTTATTTATTTTTTAAGACAAGGTCTAGCTATGTAGTTCAGGCTGGTCTTGAACTCACAGTGATCCTCCTGCCTGAGCCTCCTAAGTGCTGGGATCACAGGTATGTAACACCACACCCAGCTTGAATATATATTTATGATGCTGCATGAAAGGATCTTCAAAGAGTCCTATCTCTCTAAAGTGATAGGACTTTATTTCATGCAGGGTCTCACTGTATTGTCTAGATTGGCCTTGAACTCCTGGGCTCAACTGATCCTCTGGTTTCAGTGTCCTGAGTGGCTGGGCCTACAGATGCATTGGGCTGTGAATTAGTCTCTTGAATTTTAACTTTTTCCTATCATGTTTAAAAAATTAAATTCTTTTATGTATCTTGAAGAAAAATATATTTCCAGAATCCTAAAATAATTTTCCTTTATCCAAACTGAGCCTCCCTTATCCTATGGTTTTGGTCTTCTTCTTTCAGTGGATCTACTAATCAGGCGCTCACTTTGGCATTCAGGCACCGCTGCTGGTGTTTGGGAATATTGTAGGAGGCACGTGGCTGCTGTTTTAAATAATAGTGAGTCAGAAGTGAGAAAATTATTCCCTTTTCTATTCTCTTTCAGTTCTGATTGCATAGGGAGAAAATTTCATTTTGCTTCATTTGGCTTCTCTTTAGTAGTTGTTAATCTTTTTTATTAACAAAGGGAAAGGGAGCCCTGGGTGCTGAGCCCTGGGTAAAGGGGAGAGATCTAACTAGGATGTGATAACATCCCTTTGTTTTCATGGTATTTATTTTTATAGTCACTTTTTATTTATGGCAAGTGATTGTGGTTTTCTGCTTTATGATATTAATATAATATTCTTTTTAAAATAATTTTTTAATTTAATGAGTACATGTTTGCAATTCACGCAGTTTATGAACATCTTGGGGAGTGATTACCTGTACATATTATAGCTTGTTTCTTTCTTTCTTTTCTGGGGGGGAGGTACCGGGGATTAAACTCAGGACCTCAGGACCTTGTGCTTGTGAGGGGGGCTTGGTGCCACTGAGCTAAATCCTCTGCTGGTCTGTTGTTTCTTTTTTTTAAAATCCCCTTCTCCTTCTCTCCCCCTTCCTTCTCCCCTTCCAATTTCCCATCCCCTTTTTTGTACTGGTTGACATTATTTGTTTTAGCTCATGTTATATCATATAGTGTTTACATTAATTGGAGTTATTAGGTTCCTGTACATGGCACATCTTTATTTCTCTCATTCCCCTGCCCCTCCTCCTCACCCCTCACCCTTGATATTAATACAGTGTTCTTTTCTAAATAAATGTCTTTAAGAGTCTAGGTCAATAAGAAATTAATAGGACAGATAAGGCCAAAATCACATAGGTAGTGCCAGAAAGATAGACATTATTGGAAGCCCTATTTTGATAGAAAGAATGGTGGAGATCAAAGTCTGAATATCTAAGTTACAGGACTAGCTCTGCTGTGCTTAGCCATGGGAACTTGGGTGAAGGAATCACTTTGGATATTTGTACAAGGTGAGAAATAGTGGAAGAAATAATGTCCTACTTATTTTCCTGGATCAAAGGTAATGATAGGACAAGGAAATTCGATAAACTGTAGTGGAGAGAGGTGAGAGTGGGCTATACAGGTATAAGGTGTTATTACCATCATCCTTTGCCCCTACGATTAAAAATCCTCCATTTTTTCTAAACCAAAAGAATATTTAAAGTTATATGTGGATTCTGAACCCTTCATTGCAGGTCTGGCTTTTCATGTAGTCACTGGAAAACTTTAGTGATTCTGGGTAGAGATGGGGAGAATGAGTGGGAGAACTGGTGACCACTTGGTCTCCCTTCTCCTGGACAGAACTTGAAGTTGCCTGGGAATGCAGCCCCCGCCCTCAGGCAGACCCTCTACTCTCTACTGAGTCAAATGCACACAAGGATCTTGGGGGTGGCTTGTTGTGATGTATTGTTGTTTGAAACAGGTGTTTGGCTAAACTGGGTAGGAAAAGTTGTGTAACGTATTCTTCTCTTGGATCTTGACTCTGGGGGTTCTTGTGCTGTTTTTTGCAGCTGTTTTTCCTGGAGGATTTGGAGTTTGGCAGGTGGTATCCCATTGATCTGGAGAGGGAAGAGGAAACAGGAACCTTTAGCAATCAGTTGGTCATTTGCTGATTTCTGGCTTTTGGGAGATACTGGGTAAAAGCCCATGGAAGGAGAGAGAATAAAATGACTTGTCCCATTTGGGGTGAGGAATAAATGCTAAGCATATATGAAGTTAATTCACTGGAAAAGGCAGGAAGAATTATTTTTATTAATGGTTCAAAAAAGCCCTCCCATCAGAGTTCAGAAGATTTTAGTCATCAGGAAAGATAGTTTAGTAAGCATTTGTTGTTTTATTTTGCTTTGCTTTGTTTTGTTTTGGTGCTGGGGATCAAACCCAGGGCCTCACACAAGCTAAATGCATGCTATACCATTGAGCTACATCTCCCAGTACATGCTCTACTACTGAGCTATTGCCCAGCCTTGGTTTACTAAGAATTGAATAGATTAGAGAAGACTTCAGATAGAATGAGAATGTTTAAGGTGCCAGCTTTCACAAAGCATTTTACATTCATTTTCTTATGCAAGCTCCACAACAATTTTACAAGGTCAATACAATATTTCCATTTCACCCACAAGAAACAGGCTTTGAAAAGTTTACTTACCCAAGGCCAAAGAGCAAAGTTTAACTGATGACAACCTAATTAAATCCCAGATTTGACTCTAGATATGAGCTCTTAGCCACTATAATACACTGTCTACTAGAATGTCAAGTTGGAAGGAGCTTGAGAAAATTTAGTTCAATCCAAACTGAGTCTAGAAATGAGCTCTTAGCCACTATTATGTTGTGTCTACTGGAATGTCAGGCTTGGAAGGAGCTTGAAAAATTCAATTCAATTCAAATTGTTCATGAAATAAATATGAAAACTGAAATCCAGTGGAATTTCATTTTATTTTTCTCAGTTTGATCATATTAAAGGATTGTGTAGAAGACTGGTAGAAAAGAGGGATAAAGAGTGAACATTTACCAAGGGTCTATATTTAGATTTAGATTGGCATTTAACCTTCACAATCTATGGAGTAGCTGTTGTTCCCATTTTACAGATAAGGAAACCAAGGCCTTGAAAAGTGAAAGCCATTTTTTCTAAAGTCACTAGATCTAAATTATTAGCTCACTAGCTCTTGAATCCAATTCTGCCTGACATTAGGACTGAAGTGCTTCCTATAATACCCTGGCGACTTTCCAAGCTAGACAAGTGAGGTCAATTGCGAAGGGACAGGACAAAGAGCAAAAGATCAATGACGTGCCCTGAAGAGTTGTGAACAGGGAATAACAGGGAAACAACATGTCAGAAAGGTGAACTTACTATGGAGAAGAGATAGGGTAGGGCCAGATCTGGGGGCAGGGACTGCTGCTGTGAGCCCTGGAAACAGGGTAGGCTTTTGGTGAAAGCTTGGAACAGCAATGGTAATTAGTTTTTGTTTCATTTTGTTTTGTTCTTTTTGTTTTGAGACAGGGTATCACTTGGCAATTCAGGCTGGCCTTGAATTCACTATATTGCTCAGGATGGCACTGAACTCACAGTGATCCCCCTGCCTCCTGAGTGCTGAGATTAGGTGTGTACCACCATGGCCAGCAGCAATGATAATTATGAGGAAGCAAGCACTTGAGATTACTAAGGAAGTACCAGAATTTGCAGTTTGATACAAGGCGCAAAAGGGAGCACAGAGGTCTTGAGTCTGAGCATCTGGGCATCTGGGAGATGGCGATTCTCCAGATGACTAAGGAGGAGAGAAGACATCTAAAGAAGAGACTCACCTTAGGAGGGGAGGATGAGGAGGCAGATTTTAGCTATGCTGATTTTCAGGAACTGACAGCATGAAGTTGACTTAAGGATCAGGACTAGAGATGAATATTGGAGAGCCAGGGATCCAGAGGGTAAAGATGGAAAGTACATAGAATAGAAAGTGCATGTCTTTTCACCCATATATATCCTCAAAGTCACCTATATCCCCCCATGATGGGGTAAAATTCTTGATCTTAAAGGAGAAGTAGGTAAGCACACCTCAGTCTGTCCCCTCTAGGTCTGTTTGCAAGCACACATGTCAGTGTGACATAATAGCAAAAAACACAGCTGCGATTTTTCTCTCCTCTCTAGCAAGTCCAGGTTCAGAAGCCCACAAGGAATAGCATAGATTTCAAATAAATGCCTGGAGTTGATCAAATCTTGGACAGTCAGCCTGGGTGTGCATTTTGGTCTTGCCATCACACACCTCCCCAACCATCTCTCCCAAACCTTTTCCTGCTCCTGCTCCCCCAGCCTGTAGTTCCTCACCCGCTCCCCCTTACCTAAAATTCCCAGATACACTCTTTAGTAATGCCTTCACTGTCTGCCAGTAGGGTACCACTTCTGTCGGCTCGCATGTAGAAGCCATTGGGTGCCAGCACTGTGAGCAAGTTGCTCCCCTGAAGTTCTATGCAGAAGTTGAGGGCAAACTTTCCCCAAGGGCGGAAGGTGCCAAAAGATGTTATTGACCAGAACGATCCACCCTGTGCTGGGGAGGGAAGAGCTCAGGTTGGTGGTCTGATTGGAGGGGGTCCTCCAGCAGCGAGGCTTCTGAGGAGGTTTCCTGGGGGCATCCCCTCCTCCCCCAGCTGCCCCATCCTGTGTTAGCAGGTCCTTCTATGGAAATGCAGGAGGACTAACAGTGATTCCCCTGGATCCTTTCTGCCAATCCATTATGGAGCCTTCCAGTGTGAAAAGAGAGATCCTGTTTGTCCTTTTATAGTTGGGGGTAAGGCAATGGCTAGACTGTGAACTAACTCTAGGATGGGGAAGAGGAGCCAACTCACCCTGGAAGTGGTAGATGCCCTGGTGGCAGGGCAGGAGCTGAATGCAGTCTGGCTGATCCATATTGCACTGGATGAGGTCACGTTCTGATGTGGAGCCCACATACCCATACCGACCTCGCAATACAAGGAAGGGGCGGTTGGCAAATCGAATTGCCAGTTCCTCATTTGGGCCTGAAAGAAACAGGAAGGAGTTACCTGGATGGACTGCCTCTAGATGTTTTCCCAGATGGAAGCAGGAGGGGAACACTAATTACAGATGGGTGTTGTCAGTATTTTAACATTTAATGAACACCTGCTATGTGGTAGGTCTTAATACTAGATGCTTGTAAAAGTATCTAGCCCAAGAAATTTTAATATTCTTCTTTCCTTTGGGATAACCTATTTAATCCTCAAAACCATTCTGTGAGGCAACAAAGTGGATAGCACCTTCATTTTTATAGATAATAAAACTAAAACTCAAAAAGGTAGTTTGGTTTGGTAACAAGGAAAATTCAGTGATTGAGTGGGTATGGAGACCTAAATATTCTGACGCCCAACTCCAGTAGTTCCAGTTCCTTTTTAGAAATAAATCATAGTTCATCTCCCTTGAAAAGCATCTCTTGCTTGGAATAACCTGGCAGAAGGGATTCTTGGCTCACCTGGGATGGTGGCATTGGCTATCAGCAGACCATTGGGTGCAATGCTCAGAAAGCGCCCACTGGAGGATTGCAGGATGATCTTTCCACAATTCCAGTGCACACGGAAGAAGGTATCAGACTCCACTGCATGCCCATCAGCCATCACTGCTCTGTTGGGCCTCTGGAGAGAGAATATTGGGAACGTGGACCAGGAGTAAGGACAAACCGTCTCAGCTTTCTTTCTATCATTTTTATTCCTGGACTTTCTTCCTACTTCCTCTGCCCCTCAGTCTTTGTCATTCTCCCAAAGTATGCGTTTTGCTTTAGATCCTTTCAGCAAGGCATGTTGTGGCCTCAGCTCTCTCTCTTCTCCAAGTCTGTGCTGTTTGCCAGAGCCCAGGATTGTTTTAAAAAGGCGCCAGACTATCATTGGGAGATGAACATTGGCCCTGACTCCAAAGTCGTTTTGAAGTGGATTCTAGACATAATAGTGAAAAATAAACTACAACATGTCTAGAAGAAAACATAAGAGAAATTCTTGGCCACTTTGGAGGTAGGGAATGATTTCTTGGGACAAAAAAAGCTGTAAGAATTTTAAAAATTGACAAATTGGGCTTCATCAAAATTAAAAACTTGCTTCTCAAAAGCAAATGAAAGGCAAGCCACAGATTGGGAGAAAACATGTACAAGGTAAATATATTTGGCAAAGGACATGAACTCAGAACTTATAAAGATCTCTTACAACTCAGCAATAAGACAAACAACTCAATAAAAATGGGCAAAAGATTTGAACAGACATCTTACAGGGAAGATATGCAAGTGGCCAATAAACACATAAAGAGATGCTTTAAACGACTAACTATAATGTAAATGCAACTAAAAGCCTTCATGAGAAGGCCTTACACATCCATGAGTGGCTCCAATTAAAAAGACAATACCAAGTGTTGGTGAGAATACGGAGCAATTAGAACCCTGGCAAAATGTAAAATGGTATAATCACTTTAGAAAACTGCTAGATATTTTCTTATGAAATTAAACATCTATCTATCATATGATTTACTAATTCTACTACTGGGTATTTAGCCAAGATAAATGAATATATAGATTCACAAAAAGACTTGAACACATGTTCATAGTAACTTTACTTTTAATACCCCAAAGTGGAAATACTCCAAGTGTTCATCAATAAGTGAATGGATAAAAGGTTATGTTTAGATTAACAAATTATATTCAGGAATATACTCAGTAGTAAAAAGGAATGAACTACTGACATATGTAATATCATAGATTAAGCTTAATATACACACAAAAAGTACATATGCTGTGTATACCGTATGAGTCTACTTACCTGAAATTCTAATCCATAATAGCAGAACACAGATGGGTGATATGTTGGGAATGGTCAAAAGTGGAGAGAAAGGGGCTGTAAGGGGTCAGGAGGGAATTTTTATGGTAGAGGAAATCTCTAACTTGAATGCTTGTGGCATGGCTTCATGGACACACACATTTGTTAAAATCTGCTGAATTTTACGCTTACAATGAGGGCATTTTATTCTTGTAATAAGCATATGTAGTTTACATAATATATTTATATACTACACACATAATTTATACATACTTTATATAATGTACATATATTTGATATTGCCTCAATAAAGTTGATTTTTTAAAAAAGAGGTTCCGCTGGGGAAAATGAATGTTTGTTGACAGAAGCCTTGATGGTCACCTTGCCACCTAGTCATCTGTCTTGGAGAAAAAGGATGTGTCTAGAAAGGGAGAGCTCAGGGTTGATGGTTTCTTGTTCTGAGAGCCAAATACTTACCTGGGCTAGGTAGCAGCCATTGGTTGAACGAAGTTGCAAAGTGGGGCTCTCACTATTACACTCAAACTGGAACAAGGACATCGGTGTCAAGCATGCAGAGGTAGCGCACACCTCAGCACCTGCAGAGAAAATATCTGTCAGTAGAATTCTAGTCTGACCTCACCTTCTGTCTCAGCTCCAGCTCCATGCTTCATAGTTGGGCTTCCCTTTTCAACCTTCTTCGTGGGGCCACAATAGTCTGGAGAAGACCAGAGTAACTTTTCCCTACAACTCATATCCCTACTTGTCTCTCTTCCACTGCACAAGATATAACCCCTGGGACTCCAGGATCTTCCCTATGAGCAGGTCAAAAAACCCTTGCTAGAGGGGCATGGCAGTGCACACTTGTAAGCCCAGCACTTGAGAGGCTGAGGCAGGAAGATCACTGTAAGTTCAAGGTCAGTGTGGGCTACATAGTGAGTTCAAGGCCAGTCTGAACTATATATGAGATCCTGTCTCAAAAAACAAAAACAAAACAAAACAAAACATTGCTAATTGCAGACACAATTTCCTTTTCTCAGTAGCTACCCTTTCCCCTCTCCATGGCTGTGTTGACCCAGCACTTGCCATATAGGACTGAGATGAACTTCCGAGCCTTTGACCTGAGGCTGACCCAGGTAGGGAAATGTTGTAGGATGAACCACTCTGCACCCTTCATGGGCCTGGAGCCCAGGCCCAGGAGCAGGTGTGAGCCCTGTGGATATAAGGTGCCTCCTTCTCCATCACACAGTGCCACGAGACCTCTGGGCCTCACTTGAATGTGAAAAGCTGTCTGCGATGAGAGTTGGGAGACCAGTCGGTTGACATGGGACAAGAAGTGGTGTGTAGAGGTCTCCAGGTGATAGCATCCATCTTGAAAATGCAACAGGAAGCCACATTCCTCCATGCAAGGGACTGCTGCATCCACCCAGATGCGGCCCACAGTATGGTCAGCCCGGGCATAGGTGCGGTAGATGGGGCTATAGAGGGTCACGTGAACATGCAGAGCTGGCCGGGGGGTCCACATGTGGTAAGCTGAGAGGACCTGGGAATTGCAGAACACATCTGTACCATCAGACTCTAGATAACGACCAGAAATTATGCACTGGAGGGTCCACTTGCCATTCCGGTGGAATTGGAGTAGGAAGCATCCGTGGTGGCTGGTCCTTGGCTGGCCATGGCACACAGAACCATCCCCTTCACATAGAAGGTAGAGGCCTTTCAAGCTCTTTAGTTTTACCACAGCCTGTGTCTCATGCTCATTGCTCACCAGGAGATCCCAGATCTGGATGATCAAGAGGGAAAAGAGGGAAATAGGTGTAGCCAAGTGACTAGACTGAGGAACCCTACAACCATCACCCCAGGACCTCCACCAATATCAACCTCTTCTTGTGCCCTCTTCTTGTGCCCTGTTGTCTCCTTTGCCATCAGCTTGTCCACCTTCCCAGTTAACAGTAGTGAAAAGATCTCTAGGATGCTCCACCACTGGAGCCATAGAAGTCCTCAGGATCCAAAGAAAACCAGATGCCCACGTTCCCCAGCTAACAAAAGTTAAACTTTTCTGCTTTCCTTGACCTTGTCCTTCAAGACCTAATTTTCCAAGAAAAGCTTCCAAGAAAAACTTTGGTTTAAGTTTGACTTTTTATGTCCTCACTTGGTCCTGGATATCACACTCAGCCAATACCTCCATCCCTAGAGGGCTCCTTCTCAACAGAGCAGGAGAAAAGCAAGGGCTCTTAAAAGCATGCCTAGCTCCAGGGATGAAGATGGGAGCAGACTGCTGAGATGTCAGTGTCTGGTTTGTAATTAATTTTGTCATAAGCAAGAGACATTGCTTCTGCCTCACTCTGGCACCCATTACAGAGATATCTACTGTCCTCTCTAAAATGGAGAACAAGTCTGCAAGGGTTTCTAGAATACTCCATTCTCAAACTATAATCAGAACAGAAACACAGGCCTTGCACTATGGTCCAGTTGGTTCAACTTCCCCTGGATGCCCCAGTCCTGCCTTCCAACCTGGGCTCTTGACCTTTCCTCTTTGATGACACAATCCTCCTGTGTTGGGATGGAGTGTAAGGAGCAGTCTGAAGAGAGTTAAGCCAGGCCAGGGCTGAGGCTTCACCTTGGGGGATAGGTTTAACGACCTGGAGTATAAGCATCTTGGTTTGGCAATGGTAGGGGCAAGGAAAGTAATCAGTTTGAGTGGATCCCACTGCCATACACACCACACACTCAGAAAGCTGGTTCCATATGGGTTTGCTTGTTACCTGTCTCCTGCCCAAACTCTTTGCATTAGCTGTGACTGTATTCTTATATGCTTCGAAGGTGAGGTAGGTTCCTGCCCAGCTGATGAGCCCAATTCTTAGGTCCTCTGCCTTTGGGTGTCTGTGCATCCACTCCACCTCATCCATGAGACCAGTGCTACAGGTGATGACTCTGTCCCGCCCAGCCTTCCCCCCACTGGTGAGGTCCCACAGGCCATAGGACCTGGGATAAGGCCTGTAGTACTCACCAGATGTTCCCACAGGGAACTTCCCAGGCTTGCCTACAGGCAAGCACCTCTGTGACCCGGGAGCATTGTGACTGTGAAGGCCACCTTTTATCCCACCACAATGCAGCAACATCAATGCATGGCCAAGGGGAAGTGTGCCCAGATCCTCTGCCATTTACCTCCCATGTCACTCCAGGCAATAAGCTAAGCTGAGCTGACTAGGAATCAGAATGGTAGTCTGTGACTTTAGGCATGTCCCTCTTTTTGCCTGTTTCTCATTAGCAGGACAGAAATCAACATATTTCCTCCCTAGGAAATGGATTCTGCCTGGCTCCCTTGTGGTTCAAATATTTTTTCAGTTCAAGAATTTTCAGCTTGGATTTTTTTTCAGATATCCAATAAAAGTCGATCAGCTTTTAGGTCCTTGATAAAACGAGGCCAGAATGTCTCAGAAGCATTTTGCAAGGAGTATGAGGGAACCCCAGATAACCAGCAAGAATGAAATGATTCAGATTAATTGGAAAGGGCTGGCTCAGGACCATGCTAAGAATGGCTTGGGTGGAGGGAGCCCCTGGCTGTACTGCTGGTGGGCAGGTCAGCTGGCTGGACAGCTGGAGTTGTTTTTCAGGATACCAGCCTTTCCCCTCCAAGGAAGCTCCATTGTCCAGTGGTCTTTGGGACACTTCCTGCAAGGCACGAGGAACCCAGGCCAGAAACATGAAATTAAAGGGGAAAAAGACAAAAAAGAAATGATGGCGGTAACAATGCGTTCTATTTCATGTTTGCTGGGATCCTAAGGGAAATGGGACAGTTAAACCACAGTCCTGGTTCTTTACATGCACTTTCTGATTCTCCATACATGGGGTCTTCCCAGGTAGAAAGAGTCCCAGTGGTGCCCCATAAGAAATGGTAATTCCCTGGCTCCACCAGGGTTTTGCAAATCAAGGCTAACAGGTCCTGACTAGCTCTAGGTTATTTGGGAAATTTGAAAGATGCATATTGTTGGGCCTCAGACTAGTCCTCATGAATCATCTTGTGGAATGTGCCCAGGACCCATATTTTTTTTTTGGTACTGGGGATAGAACTTGGGTCCTTGCACTTGCCCAGCAGGCAGCGAAACCACCAAGCTAAATCCCTGGCCCTGGGACCCATATTTTTAATGCATATCCCCTCCTGTGTCAAACACAAAATCATGAAGAACTGTTTTATGTAGATAACAAGATGGAAAATAGTTATATTGCTTGTGGAACCATAATGGTAAATCCTGTTACCTTCCACTCATGTTCTGAGGAAACAGCAAATACTCCCTGCTCCCCCACCCCCAACCTGGAACCCCTACTGGTATTTCTAGTTTAAGAGTAAAGCGGGAGAAGCTGGACTAGATGAGTGTGCACATGTATGTTGGCCCTGCAGCCTCAGCTGCCTTAACTCTCTTCCACGCTGTCTCTTTGCATCCCATAAACCCAGCCTCTGGCTTCTAGGCCACAGACAACACTGAGTACAAACCACAGCAAATTTATTACTCAATATCCAGTTTCACATCATAGCACCACCCACAGCCCTCACTTTCCCCCCCAAACCTGGCCCCAAGGGTGCAGCCCAAACAGAAAAGAACAAAAGTAAACCCAGATTCCTGCTTCTCTTCTGGAAAAGGGGGCCTTGGCCAGGAAGCCCTTCCACAGGTCCCAGCAGGCAGGAGGGAGGACCCCTCTGTGCCCAGAGAGCAGGGCTCCAGGCTCCAACGACAGAGAGAACATGCAGGCAGGAGCACGAGCAGAGGCCTGTCTGTGGGGAGGAAGAGTGGAGGCAAGAGCACTGCCTGAGGAGTCCGGGAGTCTTGTCATCCCCGGGATGCACACGGGAGCTTCTGGGCAGCAGGGGCCTGCCCCTGGCTGGTTAGCGCTTTGACAGCTCATGGGACAGCCAGTCCAGCCCATCATACAGGCCTGTGCCTTGAGTCGCACAGGTGGCCTGGACGTACCACTGTGAGAAGAAGGAAAAAAGGAAATCAGCAGCAGGGAGAAAGGGGTGCCTTTATATGCTTGCCCCAGCCTGTGGGTCTCCCAGGACAGGTAGGGCCCACTGTGATGGGGTAGGACCCTCACCGTGCGGCTGCGCAAGTGCTGTAGCCCCAGCTTGTCGGTCAGCTCGCTCACGGGCATGGCATTGGGCATATCCTGCTTGTTGGCAAATACCAGCAGCACCGCATCCCGCAGCTCATCCTCCTGGAGCTGAGGGAATGAGAGAGGGTGGAAACTGTGGTTGCAGGGGATCCCCAGGCTCCCTCCTAGCTGCTGTGTTGGGGAACCCCCTTTCTATTTTTTTTGTAGGAAAAATACAGTATCATGTGATCATGTAATCTTGAACACAAGACAGAGTTTTAAATGAGCTTGAGACCACCTCAGCCAGTGGTGGCAAACCTCACACATGGGCCAAAATTTCTATGTTGAAAAAGCAAGTATATGAGGTGCCATTTCTTTCTACCACACATAATTTCCCCCTCCCTACCAACTTTTCTGACTTGGATATAAAGGCATGAGAACGTGTGGAAAAGGTCAATCCTATCCCAAACAGGGTGAGAAACACCAAGTGCCTTGCGTCCACAAAGAAATCCACATTCCCTGCCTTCGATATGTGTGGGGAGTTCCCTGACTTCCACTCTCTTCCACAGAGATCTGATTTGACTCCAATCTTTTGGCTCACTTTCAAGGATCTGGGTACTCACCATCTTCTGGAGTTCATCAGCAGATTCCTGGACCCGCTCTCGGTCATTACTGTCTACCACAAAGATGAGGCCCTGGGTGGAAAGGAAGAATGGAAGGAGAGGCAATCACTCCACCCAGGCAGTACTCTAACCTGGCCCTTTCTCTCTTTTCTCATCTTTAGCTGTGAGAGCCCTCCTTATCTAGCAACGTTCCTTGAAGGCTCTGTACAAACTAGAGACACCACTATGAAGGATACAGCCTGTACTCTCCAAGAAGCAGTATACCTAACAGATAAACAAGGGACCACGGAAAGATACTTGGGAGCTCAATCAGGCAGCATGGGCTCTGAACACTGCTTCCCAGGAGACTTCTCAGGTCACTAGTCTCAGAATAAGATGAAGGTGAGTTCTGAAGACTGAGCAGAGGCTAGCCAAGCAAAGCCGGGAAGGGGCATGAGGGGGTTCTTGGGCCAGTCCTTCTATCTCTAACCCCTCTTCTCTGGAGCTGGGGAGTCCCCCCTCACACTTCACCTGAGTGTTCTGGAAGTAGTGCCGCCACAGAGGTCGAATCTTGTCCTGGCCTCCCACATCCCAGACTGTGAAACAGATGTTCTTATATTCCACTGTTTCCACATTGAAGCCTGCAGATAATTTGCGGGAGGAAATACGAGAAAAAGTCCTGAAAGGAAGGAACTCACTAAAGCTATTTGGATCTCAGCAGGGCACAAAACCAGAAGGGTTTGGGAGCGGAACCCACGGGGATCAGCGATCAACAAATGGGCAGGGCTAAGCTACATCCACCCCGCCTCTGGCAACACCCGCACATAGAGATACCGCAACCCACTTCTCCAGTAGCGGTATCTGGTGTCACGGTTCGCTCCAGATAAGGGCCTGGGCAGGACTGGTTGCTGATCTGGACCAAAGAGGCCAGCCGCGACGCTCCCGCTCCTCCCTTCCTCCCCCAGGGCTCACCTATGGTGGGGATAGTGGTGACAATCTCCCCCAACTTCAGTTTATAGAGGATAGTAGTCTTGCCGGCCGCATCCAAGCCAACTGCAAAGGAGAGGGGTACAGGAATGGACCTGGGAGCGAGGGAGCCCCCTAGAGACCAGGGAAAGGGAGAGACCAGGCCAGCCGGCGGGGACCGGGGCGGAGAGCCCGAGAGCCTCCAGGTGCGCGCTGTTCTCCACCTTCCGGGCCTGGAGGAGCAGTGTAGGCGGCGGGTGCCAACTCCTACCCCTAAGGTGGGCGAGGGACGGGAGAGGCCTGGGAGGTGAGGGACACGGAAGGCCGCGCTCCTTTTAAAAGTCATCTCCAAGGGCGGAATCCTCCCTTCTTAGCAGCCGGGCTGGGGCGGAGGGAGCTCACCCCACCCAGGCCCACAGCTCCGGGTTTCAGTCCCCGGGACTGCACTGCAGACCCGGGTCCTCTGGAGAGCTGAGGAGCCTGAGGTTAGGAGGTGGGTAACTCGGGTCCGAGAGCCAGGTGAGCGGGGCTGGAGGGATGCGGGGGCGGAGGGCTGCGCCGGGGCCGGCGGCCCACTACGGGCCGCGAGCTCGTTCTGTCTCACCCATGAGGATCCGCATCTGCTTCTTCCCGAAGATCCGCGAAAACAGCGCGGACACCGTGAGGCCCATGGCGGGGCCCGAGGGCGGGGGCGGGGGCGCGGGCACCGACGCGGGTTGCGGGCTGGAACGGGCCGGCCGCTGGGGGATGGGGCGCAGCAGCAGAGGGGGAGGTGTCGCTGCCGCCTCCGCGCGTCCGGGCCCGCCCGACGTCACGCGGCCCCGCCCCTGTTTCCCCGCCCCCTTCTCGGGGCGGGGCAAAGTGTAGTTGAGCGAGACTCCGCATTCTGGATGGGACGCGCGCGGCAGAGGAGGTGGCTGGCTGGGGCTCCCCCGTAGTCTCAGGCGAACCTGTCGGGCCTGTGACCGCTGAACTGGGAGCCTGAGGAGGACTGAGGAAAAGCTTCATCGCTCCACAGCGGCCCTCTGCTGCTTTCTGTCGTGCCTGGCAGTTGAGCTCTGAATTGTGTCCACCCACTCTGGGCTCGGGTTTAGATCCGGGAACTGGCAGTACAGACTGCCAGCACCCAGTTCAGAGTAGCGGAAGGGGCCTGCAGGGGTCGTAGTTCTCTCTTTGGCCCGCTGAGCCCCTCGGCGAGGACTCTGCGGGGAGTAGGTGGAGATCACTCCAGCAGTGTGCCAGAGTGGTACAGGAAGATGCAGGCTGCCTGGCTTCCTTAGTTACTTAAAACGCCTTTTTCATACCCCAGTCAGCAGAATCAGCGGGAGAACACCCAGCCGCGGAGATATCGCTGCCCCACTCGTAGGCTCCTAGAGAACTCTCCCTTCATTTCCATCTCCCTAGGAACCGTGCCTTTTGGTTTCGGGTCAGGCAGCTTTTCTAAAGTTCCTTCTTTGTCACCGACTTGCAGGTCTGGATTTTTTGCAATTTTTATTTATTAGTACATGCGTGCTGTTCATAATGATTACATTCCTTGTGTGGAGTTGGTACGTGTACATAACACATCTTAATTCCTTTTTCATCCCCCTTCTCCCTCCCTCCTCCATCTCTTGGTACCCTTCCCACTTGGAAAGGATCTGTTTCCTGTTTTGGTTCTTATATAAGAGAAACCATGTGATATTTAAGCTTGTGTGTCTTGATTTATTTCATTTAATATTATGGTCTCAAGGTTTTTGGGTTTTTTCCTACGTTATGGCAGAGTAGTACTCCATTGTATAAATACCACATTTTCTTTACTTATTCATCTGTCGACAGACATATAGGATGCTTCCAAGCTTTAGTTATTATGAGTTGTGCTGCTATAAACATGAGTATGCATATATCTCTGTAATATGATGTCTTTAACTTTCAGGAACATACCTAGAAAAGGAATAGCTGTGCCAAATGGAATTTCTAGTTTGAGTTTTTTGAGGAATCTCCATTCTGTTTTTCATAGTGGTTGTACTAGTTTATATTCCCACCAAGAATGTAGAAGGGTTCTTTTCCCCCAAAGTCCTCACCAGCTTTATTATTTCTTGATGATATCCATTCTTTCTGGAGTAAGATCTGGGTTATTAATGCACACCTATCCAAGATTTTCTGAGGGTCTTGTCTCCCTAGGCCTGCAGGGCTTCACATGTAACCTGTCATTTTAGCATCTGAGGAGAGCAGTTAGATGGGAATTAATGTCCATTTCTTCTATGGTGGAGAGTGGATGGGTCAGTGTCAGGCATCTAATACATGCATGTTGGGTTGAACTGGACTGAAATGGAGTTAGGTCAGGTCTATTCTGTATTCCTAGTGGGCTTCTAGGATCAATTACTTATGGTGTAGACTGGAGCCGAGCTGGCAATTTGAAAGCCTTTCCTCAATAAATGTGTCAGCACTGTTTCATGCTGTCATGAACTTGAATTGTCTGCTTTTTTTTTTTTTTTTTTTTTTTTGAGGATTTGCCTTCAACTATCTCCACAAGCCTTTTGTCATTTTCTCATTTATAAAAGGAAACTTATACTTGTTCTAACTCCAGGGTTATAGCAAGATTGAAACGATGAGCTAATGCCACTGAATGTTTTGTGTGACACACCTGGATGTTGGGCTACTAAGAAACTTAGTCTGAACAGACCTCCAGGGCCTGCTCCATCCTATGCAGCAAAGTCTGTAACAGAACTGGATGTGAGTGTATGACTTCTTGGTCACAGAAGCCTTTCCTAAGGCTTCTACAAGGTTTAAGAGTTCATTTGAAAGGTCCCTAGTAGAATAACAGAGCTAGCAGTCACCAAGTCAGGTTAATTCTACATCTTAAGCTCTTACTAGCTCTTTCTCGATCCCTGTTGTCACTACCCAATTTCATGACCATCTCTTTCCATGACTGAAAGATGACTCCTCACAGGTCTCCTGCCCTTAGGTATCTCCATCATACCCCACAAGTTTTGATGAGCCCCCACCCCTTGAGATTAAAATTTTTTAGTTTCTTACTGTTACCCAAATTAAAATCTAAATGCTTAAGCTGGGTCCCCACCTATTGTGCTAGCTCCATCTATTGTCACCTTTTTGTAACCTAAGATACTGCCTTGAGATTATTATTTTGGTTCCCGCATGAGTTAGGCTCTCTGATACCCAGAAGTCCTTTGCAATCACTTCCATGTGCCTGGAATGCTGGTTTCATCTCTAGTTAGATGGGCAATCATTACTCATCTATCAAAATCCCAAAGTATTGTCCCTGAGATCCTCTGTGTGCCCCTCCTTGACAGACCTCCCTCCTCTTTCACAACACTCTGAATATAGCCATACATACTGGTATGAAGCGGGACCTACTTTTTTGCATATCTGATTTCTTACTAGATTGTGAGCTGCTCAAGGGCAAGGCCATGTCTCTTCATGGTAGTATCACCTACATAGCTCTTAGTACGTTCCAAGTCAGACTGACTGCACCAGCCTTCCTAAAATTACTAGTTGTGTTACTTAACTTCTGACTTTTGTTCCCATATCTGTAAAATAGCGCTAATGATACCCTCTGAACAAAATTTTGTAAAGACTAGCAGAACTTGTGAGGCTTCTGGTATACAGGTGGCATTTAGGGTGGACCTGGTGGCTAGCCACTGCCCTCTACAACTGTGGAAGATACTCAGCAGAACTGAAGATGGGTACCAACTATAATGCTATAACGAGGTGCCAAGCGCCGTGCTAGAAAGGGCTGCAATTTTCCTTCGTCTAAATGAGTCTTAACCGACGTTTAGGGACATAGGTTCTGAATCCCAAACAGCTGGACGAGTCTCACTCGGATGTTTACAAGGAATGTAGTGCCACGTCGGGCCCCCCCTCCCGCCCCCCAGCTCTCTGATGTAGCCCCAGGACCAGCTTGGGCGCCCTTGCCAAACCAGCTCCCGGGGTTCAAGACTGCACTTGCTCAGCTCTTCCCCAGAGTCGTCACCTACAGCTCCCAGTCCTGCCGTCTTCCGAACAAGCCGCCTCCAACCACTAGAGCGAGAAGCCCCGCCCACCACCGCTCCTTGGAGGCGGAGTCCGTGGCGTCCTGCTGTCGTCACTTCCAGCGGACCCGGAAGCGCCTTGTCGGCGGCCCGCGACACTTAGGAAGTCGTGATGGGACAGAGTTCAGTGTAAACCCTTGGCCGACTGTAGGCCGAGGGGCCCGGCCCGGGTTGCTGTGGCCGGAACAGGAGGAGAGGGTGGAGCGGCTTCGGGACCAGTGCGGGCGAGTCTTGGCTGTGTGGTTCTCCCCTGCCAGCGTCTCCCCGCCTCCAGGGTAGATAACTCGCTCCACGCTCTGGGCCTGAGACCCAGCGGGCGATTGTGCCAGGCTGACACTCGCCTTGCGTCCGGTCTCCGACTGTAGGACACAACGAGTGTGGCCGGATAGGTCTCACCGTGTTGCTTCCAGCCCTTTTGTCTTCCGCGGTTCTCTCTTGGGCCGCCAGAACTCTTGACTTGGAGGTACCCGCTTGGATTCCCCATGGAGAAGTTTGGGATGAATTTTGGCGGCGGCCCGAGCAAGAAGGACCTCCTGGAGACCATAGAGACGCAGAAGAAGCAGCTTCTCCAGTACCAGGCTCGGCTCAAGGATGTGGTCCGCGCCTACAAAAGCTTGCTTAAGGAGAAGGAGGCTTTGGAGGCCAGCATCAAGGTGCTATCGGTATCCCACGAGGCGGATGTGGCCCTAACAGGTGTCCAGCCTTCAGGTCTCACCTTTCCTGATTCTGTGGATGACCGGTGCTCCACCCATAGCGAGGATAGCACTAGTACTGCCACTAGTTTGGATACTGCAGCCAGTCTCCCCAGCACCAGGGGTGAGCCTGGAGTGGAGGATGACAGACTGGCCCGTGGACTGCCACCTGCAAAGTCCGAAGAGGCTAGTGGGTCAGAGAGTGGCGTCAGCAGTAGCAGTGGTGATGGGACATTTGCAGGTGGTGAGGTGGACAAAAGACTGCACCAGCTGAAGACCCAGTTGGCTACTTTGACAAGCTCTTTGGCTACAGTCACACAGGAGAAGTCTCGCATGGAGGCTTCTTATCTGGCTGACAAGAAGAAGATGAAACAGGATTTAGAGGAGGCCAATAAAAAGGCAGAGGAAGAAAGGGGCCGCCTGGAGGGAGAAGTGAAGGGGCTGCAGGAGCAGATAGCAGAAACCAAAGCAAGACTTATCACACAACAGCATGATCGGGCCCAAGAGCAAAGTGACCATGCCTTGATGCTTCGTGAACTCCAGAAACTGCTGCAGGAGGAGAGGACCCAGCGGCAAGACTTGGAGCTAAGGTTAGAAGAGACTCGAGAAGCCCTGGCAGGGCGGGCTTATGCAGCTGATCAGGTGGAAGGGTTTGAACTGCAGACCAAGCAGCTGACTCGTGAGGTGGAGGAGCTGAAAGGTGAGTTGGAAGCCATTCGAGATGAGAAGAATCGGCCAGATCCCCGGCTGCAAGAGCTTCAAGAAGAGGCCACCTGCCTTAAGAGCCTTTTCCAGGCTCAGTTGCAGCAGGAAATAAGAAAGGTAATTATTCATGTTTCCTTCAAACATTAATCGCTTAACCCAAAGTGGAAAATAGTAGGGTTTTTTTTTCTCCTCCCCCTTTTGATGCATCTGAAAAAATGAGTCCTGGGACATCCTGTTCTGTGCTGTGTTAACAGTATCTAGAGAGTGACCTTCCAACAGGATGTGGAGTTTCGGAGTGTGGCCAGGTCTGAGCCAGATGGTTTTGAGCCTCTGGGCATTGGCATCTTACCAGCCATGTGCTCTGTGAAGAATAGTGGTTGCAGCTGTACAGTGAAAGGTATGTACCTATAGGTAGAGTGGCCAAAGAAATAACATCTTGGAATTGTTTCAGTCAAGATTTGCTTGTTTTAGAAAAGTGCTGTTTTTTAGTGTCACCTTTCACTGTAGAGAGAAATCCAACTCGGGTTTGAATTTTAGGAGTACTAGAAGAAAAGAATGTTATGTGATTTCTTAATAGGATTTGGGGAAGCACATGATAAGATAACAAGAATGTAATTTATATTCCAGCTCTGGAAAACTAAAGCAGAACAATAGCAGATATTCAAAGGAGCTTAATATTGACATTCCTAGTTTCCTAGGTCATCCCAGTACTGTGACCCTTTTGCTCTCCAACCTCCAAACCTTGCTGTAGGGCTTTGTGACTTTTCTGAATTCATTTTTGTCTCTTCCCTTGTTTTGTAGACAGCCCTTGCAGAGGATCAGCTCCGCCAGCAATCTCAGGTAGAAGAGCAGAGGGTAGCGGCCTTAGAGAATCAAATATCTGAAGTGTCTGAACTGCTGGGCACCTATGAGAAAGCCAAGCAGAAGGACCAGCTAACCATCCAGAAACTAAAGGAGCGCATTCTGCAGCTGGATTTGGAGAACAAGACACTGGCTCTTGCAGCCTCCAGCCGATCCCCTCTTGACAGCCATGGAGATGAGTCCAGTCTGGATGTCAATGTCCTAAAGGATAAGATGGAGAAGCTGAAGAGGCTGCTGAAGGTTGCAGCCAGGAAAAGCCAGGTGACCCTGGATGTGGAGAAGCTCTGTGACCTGGAGATAATGCCCAGCTCAGAGGCTACAGATGGGGAAAAGGCTACTACAATTTATTACCAACAGGAGCTGAAACAGCTAAAGGAAGAGTTTGAGCGTTACAAGATGAGGGCCCAGGTTGTGCTCAAGAGCAAGAATACCAAAGATGGAAACCTGGCAAAGGAGCTGGAGGCAGCGCAGGAACAGCTTGCAGAGCTGAAGGAGAAGTATATCTCCCTTCGGCTGTCCTGCGAGGAGCTTGAGCGCCAGCACCAGCAGGAGGCTGAGGACTGGAAGCAGGAACTGGTCCGGCTACAGCAGCTTCACCGGCAGGAGCTGGAGCGCAGCCAGCTGGACTTCAGGGACCGCACACTGAAACTGGAGGAGGAGCTGCACAAGCAGCGGGACCGAGCCCTGGCTGTGCTCACTGAGAAGGACTTGGAGCTGGAGCAGTTGCGTTCTGTGGCCTTGTCCTGTGGGCTGCCAGGTCGCAGAAGCCCTGTAGGTGGTGGGGGTCCTAGGGATCCGGCTGACACATCTTCCGCAGATAGCCTGACCCAAGCACTACAGCTTGCTGTGGCCAATGAGCCTACGTTTTTTCTATATGCTGAGCAGTTGGCTCGCAAGGAGGTGGAGATCACATCATTGAGGAAGCAGAAATACAGGCTGGAGGTAGAGGTACACCAGTTGCAGGATCGACTCCTGGAGGAGGGGGAGCAGCATCGGGAGGAGGTTGGAGCCCTGCAGAGCCACATCGAAAAGAACATCAGGGACCAGAGCAGAGAGGGAGCCAACCTGGAATACCTTAAAAACATCATTTACCGCTTCCTGACCTTACCTGACAGCTTGGGGCGCCAGCAGACTCTCACAGCTATACTGACTATTTTGCACTTTAGTCCAGAAGAGAAACAAGTGATAATGCAGCTCCCAAGCAGTGGTAGCTGGTGGCCTTCTGGCAAGAGATGATACTATGTTCCCTGACTCCTAACATCTCTGTGCCTCTTTTTTGTGGGAAAGAACAGGCTCTGCTTTTTAGTGCCTCTTCTCTTATATTATCATTTCTTCACTGTGTTGACCTCAGAGGAGTTTCAGTGTGTGATGGGATTCTTTGCCAAATGCCATTAATGCTGCTTTATCCTTGGGTCCTAGAGATACTAAAAGTATTGGGACAGCATCTTCTGGTGTGAAGGGGATTGGGGGAGGGGATAGGACTGAGATGCAAAAGTTGGGGAAGTGGTGAGAATCTTTTAAAATAAGATTTTTTTTTTGGTTTTAATATTAGGCTCCTGGTGCAGGGCTAGGAGTACATGTGACTCCAAAAGGAGTTCCATGTATTTCACCCATCTCATCTCATCTCAGTCCAAGGCTGGTCCATTGCTGCCCCAATTCTCTGGGGACATAAAGGCAGACTAGAAAATTTGATGTAGTGACAAGTTGTCCACTTGTCCCTAGAGCTAATGAATAGCTCATCTTGGAACTGGGAAGCTTAGTGTAGTTAGACCTAGGACAACTTAAGTGACCTAGATAACATACTACTGAGGATCCTGAGCACCAGTTTGTTGGAATTTCTTGAATGACCTACCTTTGACTGGGTAGGGTTAAAATAAATCTCACTTTTCTCAGCCTTAATTTATCTGTCTAAGGTTGGCCTGAGATTGTGAGTGAATGACTTCACTATCTTCTTAATGTTGAGCTTGCATTAAGAGAGAAAATCCTGGGGCGGGGATTTAGCTCAGTGGTTCTGGCACCTGCCTTGCAAGCACAAGGTCCCAAGTTTGATCCCTGGTACAAAAAAAAAAAAGATAAAATCCTGGCTTTTTACAGAGTGGCATTCCCAAGGTAAGCTCTGATCCTGCTTGGAAGGAATTCCCACCGAGAATTGCTCCCAGCTGTTTTTGCTGGACAGGGACGAAGAGATTTGCTGCAGAAAATTCCGAAAGATTGCCATGACCCTCATAAGGAAGTGGTGGAAGTTCAACTGAAGCTGGGGTGGGGTACCTTCAGCCCTATGGGATGGCTTTATTCACAAATAGAAAGAGGGATCTCAGAAAACTTGGGTTCTATTCTATTTCCCCATATGCTCTTGGTGTTTACAGAGATCTTTGGACCTGAAAGACCAATGCTTGGCCACTAACTGGACTGTTATATATACATGTATCTGTCTGTTATTTTGTCATAAAGGTCTATTGTGTGAGGGTTTGGGGATAGCAGACTTTGATTCACAGTGTTCTAAGTGGGAAGTTAGGTGACTTTGGTTCTGTTTCAACAGAAGTGATGTATTCACATGAAAATAAACCATGGAATTACTAAACCTGAGTGACTTGACCTGTGTGTTTCCTTAATGGTATCTATATATCTGATTACAAATAGAATGTGAATAGAAATGGTGAATGGAAAGAATGAAAATGTTATTTCATTGTTAATCTATAGTTTGAATATAGGGAGAAATATGTCAAAAATACATGTGTGTATATTTTGTTGTTTTTTGAGACAGAATTTCACTATGTAGTTCAGGCTGGCCTTGAACTCACGGCAGTCCTCCTGCCTTAGCCTCCTGAGTGCCACCATGCCTGGCACCTCAGTATATTAACTGCCTCAGTTATAACATGATTTTTTTTAGTCTGGAATTTGTGTATATGTTTGTATATAAGCAGCTAATGGCTTTAGTGGGCAGGGTTGACACTTTCATAATTTCTGTTTTAAGCTGTAGAAGTAATCTGTTGATGAATATTTTATTATCCTTAAAATCAGGACTCACCGTGTCCTAGAAAAATATCTCAGGTTGTCTAGCTAATAGACTTCCTTTATTTCTTGTCCCTTTAAATGCAGGATATCCTGTGATTGTTGCTTTTTCTAGATGGTTGTGGGTTGAATAGAAAGATGCAGTTACAATTGCTTTTCTAGAACTAATAATTCCTGTGCTTTTGACTTTTAACTAACCAGACAAAGACTTTTAGCTAACCAGACAAAGAAGCTCAATTTCTGATTAATGATTTTTTGTTGGATAAAATTAATTTTATTTTAGTATATGTGCTGCCAAAGTGAGCACTGTTTTTTTTTGGTACCAGGGATCAAACTCAGGACCTTGCGCTTTCGAGGCAGGGGGTGGCAACACTGAGCTAAATTTGTGGCCCCAAATTAATTTTATTTTAAATAAGCAAAATGACATCACCATTAGTATCATAATTGGTAATACTAATATATCCATTCAAGTTTAAATCATTGGTTTTCTGTTTTGTAGGGCATTTTTTGTCTTAGTTTTTAAAATCAGGTTTAAACATACATAAAAAAATTACATAGTAATGAGGCACCAAGTGATGTTTTTATACATGTGTACATTGTGTAATGTTTAATTCAAGTTAATTGTCATTTCCTTACAAAAGCAGTCAAAATTCTTCTAACTTTTTGAAATGTATTGTACATTGTCTATAGTTACTCTACTGTGCAGTATCACCCCAGAACCTCTTACTCCTATCTAATTTAATACCATTGATCAGTCTCATCTCTCCTTCTTTGCTACTGTCCCCAGCCTCTGGTGGTAATCACCATTTTTCTCTCAAGTTTTATGAGATAAACTTTTATATTCCACATAGTGAGATCATGTAATGACTGGCTTATTTTACGGAACGTAATTATTGCTAGTTCTGTTCATGTTGCAAATAACAAGATCTCATTTTTTATGGATATTCTATTGCATATATGTACCAAATTTTCTTTATCCATTCATCAGTTGATGGTTGTTTCCATTTCTTGGGTATTGTCAATAGTGCTGCAATAAACACGGGAGTGCAGATGTCTCTGACATACTGATTTATTTCTTTTTCTCTCTTTCCCTCCCCCCCTTCTTTCTGTCTTTCTTTCAAGGTCTCACTGTGTTACCCAGGTTGGCCTCAAACTCGTTCAAATCTGCTTCAGCATTCCAAATTTACTGGGACTATGCTTGCTTCAGCAACACATATACCATGCAGCTGGGATCTCAGGACATATGCTGCCATGTCTAGTTAATTTCTTTTAATTATACACCAAATAATGGGATTTCTGGATCATGTGGTTCTATTTTAAATTTTTTGAGGAACCACCATAATGTTTTCCATAATGGCTGTACTAATTTACATTCTCACTAACTGTCCAAGGGTTTCCTTTTTGTCCACATCTTTGCCAGCACTTATCTTTAATCTTGTTGATGATACCCATGCTAACAGGTATGAAGTGATATCTCATTGTGTCTTTGATTTGTTTACCTGATTAGTAATGTTAAACATTTTTTTCATATCCTGTTGGCCACTTATATGTCTTCTTTTGAGAAATGTCTAGGTCTATTGCCTAGTTAAATTTTGAGGGGGTTATATATTCTGGATATCAATCTCTTGTCAAAAGTATAGTTTGTGGTACCTCATTTCCTTGGGCACCCACACTCTACACTTGAGTGCATCCTATAGTTAATAAGTCTCATGCCTCTTTTCACAAAAAAAGGTATAATTTGCAAATGTTTTCTTCTGTAGGTTGTCTTCACTCTGTTGATTGTTTTCTTTGCTGAACAGATTTTTAGTTTGATGTAATCCACTTGTCTAGTTTTACTTTTGTTTCTTAGGCTTTTTGAGGCCTTATCCAAAAGTACTTCCAATACCCTAAAGTACTTCCACTATATGTTCTTCTGGTAGTTTTATAGTTTCAGGTCTTGTATATGTCTTTAATTCATTTTAGGTTGGTTTTACTACTGGTGAGAAATAGTGGTCTGGGTTCATTGCACAGAGATATCCCATTTTTCCAGCACCACTGGTTAAAAAGACTGTCCTTTCTTCAATGAGTGTTAACACTTTTGTTGAAAATCAGTGGGATGCAGATGTGTGAGTTTACTCCTAGGGTCTCTGTTCTGTTTCATTGGTCTGTGTGTCTTTTTCTACCAGTACCATGATGGGGTTTTTGGAGACAAGGTCTTGCTATGTAGTTCAGGCTGGCCTTGAACTCACTACGTAGCTTAGGCTGTCTCAAATTTGGAGTGACCCTCCTACCTCAGCCTGTTGAGTTCTGGGATTGCAGGCGTGCCCCATCATGCCTGGCACCATCCAGTTCTGATGACTACAGATTTGTTGAACATTTTGAAGTCAGGTACAGTAGTAGTATAATGCCTCCTGCATGGTTCTTTTTGCTGAATATTAGGTTGGCTATTTGATATTTTGTGGTTCATACAAATTTTAGGGTTTTTTTCTAGTACTGTAATGAATGTCATTGATATTTTGTTAGAGATTGCTTTGAATCTGTAGATAGCTTAGGGTAGTGTAGGCATTTTAACAACATTGATTCTTGCAATCCATGAACATGGGTTGTCTTTCCTTTTTGAAGGGTGTGTCCTCTTTGGTTTCTTTCATCAATGTTTTATACTTTTCATTGTAAAAGATCTTTCACCTCTTTGGTTAAATTTATTCCTAGGCATTTTGCCAGAGATTCCTGCAGTAAGTCTCTAGTCCCCACCTGGCCAGTGTGCAACACAAGGTTGAAGAAAAACTTAAGACAGAGTTAAAGAGAAAGTGTGAACTGGAATGGCCAGTGTTGCCTGCCTTTTTCACCGAATTTTATTATTCATCAGTCAGGGTAAAGGTGCATGTATAGATGTGTAGGATGTGAAATTACCATGGAAACTAATGTAGGCAGGGCTTTACAGAGAAGTCAAAGCATTTTCAAATTAGAAGCAAGATAGACAAATACATGGTTGTAATTAGAGCATTGTCCTTCAAGCTATGAAGGCACTAATTGTGGGAATGGAATTTGGGTGCGATGTACTCTGACCTCAGCTATGGATGTTACCTCGTATTAGCCCCACAGCTTCATAGGCCCTTACTCTGGTCTCAGCTGTGGCTGCTAGCGGGGAGGTCATCTTTATCTGTGCACTACCACAGTGCTCTTTAGATACTTCTGTGAGTCATGTAGCTTCAGTCAGACTTGCCTTTTAAAGTAAGTCAATTGAGGGATTTAACTGTTTGCATCCTTTGTACTGATTACAGCATGTTTTGGGCATAATCAATATTGTGGGCTCTGGTAGTATTTTATTGTGACTATTGTAAATGGGATTGCTTTCTTGATTTCGTGTTCAGATAATTTGCTGTTGGTGTATAGCGATGCTATTGACTTGTATGTAGATTTTTGTATCCTTAAACTTTGCTAAATGTATTAGTGCCAGTTTTTTTGTGGAATCTTTGGGGTTCCTTTATATAAGCTGTCTGCTGGGTGTGGTAGCACATGGCTGAATCTCAGTACTTGGACGACTGAGGCAGGAGGATTGGTTAAGTTCAAGGCAGCCTAGGCTACATAGTGAGTTCAAGGCCAGGCTGAACTATCTTTGAGATTATGTCTCAAAAACAAAAAACAGTCATGTGTGGTGGTGCACATCTGTAATCCCAGCACTTGGGAGGCTGAGGGAGGAGGATCACTGCAAGTTCCAGGTCAGTCTGGACTATACTAGCCATCTACAAACAATGACAATTTGACTTTTTCCTTTCCAGTTTGGTTGCCCTTTATTTTCTTATCTCTTGCACGATTTTTCCACAAAGAAACTGAAGAATAAAAGTGGTGAAACAGGGCACCATTGTCTCTTCATATCTTAGAAAGAAGACTTCTGGTTTTCCTTTATTAGTATGGTAACTGTTGGCTTATTGTATATGACTTTATTATCTTGAGGTATGTTCTTTATATGGTTAATTTGTTCAGTTTTTTTTATCAAGAAGGGATTTGAATTTTTATCAAATGCTTTTACTGTTTCTGTTCAGATGATTGTATGGTGGTTGATCCTTCCATTGAAGGGCAGTTGTTCCTTCCATTGATCTGAAGCATCACATTTATAGATTTGCATTATGTTGAACCACCCTTATATCCTTGGGATGAATCCCACTTTTTTATGGTGAATAATCTTTGCAGTGTGCTGTTGGATTCAGTTGTGTAGTATGTATTTTGTTGAGAATTTTTGCATTTGTGATCATCAAGAATATTGGCCTGTAGTTTTCTTTTTTGGTATGTCCTTCTCTGGTTTTAGTATTAGGGTAATGCTGGCCTCATAGAATGTATTTGAAGGAATTCCTTGCTCTTTAGGGTTTTTTTGAATAACTTAAGAATTGGTGTTCTCTGAATGTTTGGTAGAATTCAGCAGTGAAGCTGTCTGGTTCTTAGCTTTTTTCTTTCATGGGAGACCTTTCTACTGATCCAATTTTGCTACTCATTATTGAACTATTTAATTCTATTTTTTCTTGATTCAATCTTGGTAGCATATATATGTTAGGGAATTTTTCCATTTCTTTTTTTTTTTTCCGGTACCAGCGATCGAA